AGTATAACTATATACTCGAAATAACTATATTAGGTCCAGAATATAGTCTTCTATTTATTACCCTTATAAATTTAGATATAATAGTATATATCTTTTAAATTAAGTTATATAAAGATCTTTATACTAGATAGCCGATCTATAGTCTTACTAATTAATAGTAGGGAATACCGATTCTTAAGAGTTAATATATTAAGCCTCTAGTAATCTATATATAGATATAACCCTCTATTCTTCTTCGGTATAAATAAAATAGGTATACCTACTAGGCTCTATAACAGCCTGATCTAGCCCTTCTTAATATATTCTTTAATATAATCTTAGAATACTACGAGTTCTATCTTAGAGAGAGAGTAAATTAGCTTATAGGGGATTTATTTACCTACTTCTATTTCGATAGTATAATTATACTCGTTACTCTCTAGTAACTTCCCTACTTCTTTTAGATTAAAGATATTAGCCTAGTCTCTATATTAGATAGGTAAAGCTTTTTCTATACCCTATACTATAGTAAAGAGTAGGATAGGCCTACCTTTTATAATTAGATAAGGATATACTATAAGTATAAGGGCCCTACAGAGGATCTCTTATATAAAGGCCGCTATAGTTATCTTTTTAATCTTCTTACTAGATAGGTGATAATACTATACCTAGTTTTTCTAGTTAATATTAGGATTAATAGCTTCTAGCTAATCGAATCTAATAATTAGGTTATAATCTATTATTTTAACTGCTTTATAGGGGAGTATATACTAGTATACTATACCCCTACTATCTTATAGCTCACTATTTAGCTTATAGGAGTTATAGGAGTAGACTATATAACTATCTATAGCTATAACGGGTTTCGGGGGGCCTATATCTATATATAGTAGGTACTATTTAACCTAGTTCTAACTTATAAAGGTCTTTTTAGCTCTACTATCTATTAGTATCTATATAGTTTACTCCCTATTATTAGTTTCGATACTAACTTTATAAGCAAAAGTAAGTTTCGATTTATATTTAATACCGTCTAGCCCTAACGCTACTAATACTATAAGCGCTAGGGTAATTAGTTTTTTAATTATAAATCCCCTTTAGTCTCTTTATAGGTATTTGCGTAGTAGCCTAGCTTCCTATACTTAAAGTAGTTGCTATAGGGAATACTATTAGGATTTGTTCTTTATTTATCGCGCTTACGCTTCTTATTAGATTTATCGCCTTACTTATCCTTACCTTTACCTTTAAACTTATCCTTATATCTCTTAGTACCTAATATAAACGAGGTATAAGAGCTAAGACTAGTATCTTAGCTTAGATCTAGTTTAGTAGCGTTATTCTTACTACTACTAGCGCTTTTATCTTTCTATATATAAAGCGATTTCTATTAGTTAGGGATTTGACTTTCTACTATAGAAAGGTATCCGATATATACTTTATATATTTCTAGTTCTATAAGCTATTTTAATAACTTAGTATAAACTGTATTAATTACTTTAGCCTAGAGGTACTCTTTCTAGTACTATTAACTATATAGGTACTTTAGATAATAATAGATAGTATTAAGCTATATTATAAATATCTATATAGATTAATATTATTTCTACTACAGAGTACTATACTCTAGTATACTATCTTAGTAGATATTTTAGGGATTATTTATAAGATATAGGCAAAAATCCTAGAAGTCTTACTAGGTAGTAGGCTCTTTAAATATTTTTATATAAGACTACTAATTATTATTCCTCTAATTGTCTAGTTATTCGACTGCGGCCTCTACCTTATATAGGCCGAAATTGTACTATTACTAGTGCTTATTAAAGTACGATTAAAGTCGGTTAATAAAGGTATAGTATTCTTAGGTTATATTTCTATAGAATAGTTTAATATTTATAGGCTCTCTTAGTATATAAATACAGTATTTCTTAATAACCTATAGTACAATACAGTCGTTTACACTTATTAGAGTAGGAGGCTTCGCTTACTCTAGGATCTCTAATTCTATAAGGAGGTTTTAATATTCCTCTCTTACTTTAGCTTCTTTAATATATTTCCTTAGTTATTCGAGTATTAATAGGGAAGGGTTTATAGGGTACTGCGTTAGTATTAGGTCTAGTAGTATAGTGGTTTCCTATATCGACTCTAAGATATCTATAGGAGGACTATTTATAGTAGGAGGAAGGGTTTATTTAGTCGAAGCCTATTTATTAGATTATAGTATTATAGGGAGTCCCTATAACTATATATTGCGATGGTTCGATATAATATAAACTAGTATAAATAAGGGGTAGTCTCTATTAGGTAATCTAAGTATTTAAGAGCTATTAGAACTATAAGACCCCTAGGTATAGAATACCTAAGGGAATGCTATATATAATAGAGGATTAGGAAATAGAGATAGTAGTATATATAGTGGTATATTAGAAACTAATAGCTGCTTCTCTAAAGAAGTACTATATAAGGATAATATATAGGTTATAGGTCATATGATTAAAGGGGGCTATATAGGTAGTATATATGGCTCCTACCTAGCCCACAGTTCCCTATATACCCTGATAGGTACAATACCTTAGGCATCAGCCTTCTTAGTACTAGGGTCCTGATAGGTACGTGGGGAACTGTGGACTGGGTAGGAGCTATATATACTGCCTACACAGCCCCCTTTAATCATATGACCTATAACCTATATATTATCCTCGCATACTGCTTCTTTAGAGAAGCAGCTATTAGTTTCTAATATACCACTGCATATACTACTATCTCTATTTCCCGATCCTCCATTACATATAGCATTCCCTCAGGCATTCCATACCTAGGGGTCTCACAGATTTATTCTAGACTAAGCTGCTGTTAATACTTTCTATAGAAGCGCTATTAATATAGGGGGTACCTATAATAGTAAGCCTGGCTTAAGACCAGAGTATCATAAGAATTACTATAGGGCATTTATTTTAGATCTAGTTAGAAACAATATAGAGCTAGTAGGTAGATAAGTATCTAAATCCTACCTTCCTAGGCTTATTACCTCCCTAAAGGCACAACCTAGGAGTAAGGTATTTAGATAATAGGCCCATTCTTAAGCACTTAGGTACTAAAGCTCCCATTCCCTCAAGAATTTAACTCTAGGTTAATACCTTATTATCCTATTATAATATCTTGGTTTTCTAGCTACTATAATCAGGAAATAGATAAGTTAAATCAAGAAATAAATAGTAAGAAGCTTACCTGATCTATTATACTACTGTATTTTTTTACCTTAGAGTTTTTAGTCTAGGGAGCTATTATTCATATATACTAAGTAAAGTTTAGTAAGATAATAATATAATCGGTTATTCCTACTCTAGGCCTATCGGTTAGCTATTTCTCTTACTTTAGTTCTATCTATATTAGCTTTAATACCTATTAGAGGTATACTCTTATCTAAGAGCTTAGAAAGAGCTAGAGCTTCTATAACAGTCACTTTCAGTACTATAAGTATATAGCTATCTAAAGTAGTCTAGGCCTTAGCTAGTGCCGCTTATAGGTTAGGATATCCTTAACTCCTAAGGATAGTTTAGGTCTAGCCTTTAAGTTAATCATTCTCTAAGACCCTTTTTAGTTTAATAAATTTATAGATAGTCAATAAGACCCCGAATAATATAAACGTTAATACTATTATAATAATTATTATTAGAGCTATAATAGAGCAGGTTCTAGCCTATAATACCGAAATATTAACTGCTATTATTAGCAACCTAGTAGCCGCGTTAAGGTAAGCTAGCCTATATAAGAGACATTTTCTCAGTTCTAGAAACGAGTGTCTATTCGTAGGGATCTTATAGAAATATCTTATTAATAAGCTAGGGATAATTATTTTTAAACTTGATCTAGAGCTAGCCTAATATAGTACCCCTAGTAATAAGGAAGAGAAAAGCGATGATAAGAAGGGGAGGGTTCTAAATTATCTTCAATACCACTCGACCTGCCCTATTCTTTTGAAGTATATCTTGGACTTCGTTGGACCTTTTCAATGAGGTGAAGGTGCTGGGAATGATCACGTATCCTGTAAGCAATACCTAGTCCTAACAGATCAGTAGCCTAGCTAATTATTTTAACTAATCACCATACCGGCAATTAAAGTCAAAACTACCATTCTAAGCAAAGGGTAATATTGGCTATTCCCGAACTAAAAAGCAGAATAAATAGAGAGGTTTCATATACGTAAGTACCGAAAATATTAGCAGAGCAGCTCGCACCTCCGAAATCTATTTTATCCCACTAGCATTGCAAGCGGATAAACTGACATTCTGCACAACGAGCATTCCTACATTTTCTTGCAACCAGGGACCCATCAATAATGTAAAGAACTTATTTGCTCCTCTTTTGTGTTTTATTGATATTCCTTTCTTTAATTATTTAAAATATTCAGGTGTAGAATAGTGGTGTTCAGGGCATTCAGGTGAATGGGCTGAAGGGGCTGAAGAGTAGGGCGGCAAGAGGGACTTTCCAAACGAATCAAAAAAAAAAAACGTGTGAATGCGGACATACCACAGTAAGGATTCGCTAGTAGTCACCCACCTAACTACTAACTTACCGGCGTGTGGCTTAAGTACGGCTGAGCGGACGGGAAGCCCTGTTCTCCACACCCTGTGGTCGTATGTACTAAACCTGATATCAAAGATAATTATATAGGCCTTATGCATTTCAAAGTGACGAAAAGGACCAAGTGTGCTACAAAACAGCGATCGGACCTTTGGGGCAATACCTGGAGGTGCCAGGCCTTTACAGAGTTCTGCGGGATCCCTTTAATGACTATCGAGAGAACCTGACGTATGCTAAAAGGAGGGATCGAAAGAGAGAGGCATCGGGAACCAGAGACTAGCGGGTAAAAAACAGAAAACAGCAAACAGAAGGAGGAACGCCCAAGATACATAAAAACAAGCATGGTTTGCACAAAAGGCGTATGTTCAACTAGGCTGACCTAGGCGGATGTCTAATCGGACTAGAAGGATGAGGCGTGTATTTGCGAATAGAATTGTCAATCAGATCCGCGGTATAAACCCAGGTTTAGGACGCAGCATAGTTTGCTGGGTCATACTGGCAACGAGAATACCATTCTCATCCCACACTCGCCCCTCACTAAAAGCCCTGGCATTGTTTGCAACAGCAGTTCGCTGTTCCGAGACATGCCAATTCTTTAGGGTAATTTGTGGCCTGAATATCCGTAGAGCAAAATCCAAAGTGGCACAAGCACTTGCGTCTAGCAACTCGTACCCGCTATGATCCGCAGGGATATACGCAAGACCTCGATCCATGTAGAAAGCAAGAGCGGACAGCTCTTCAGCCTGACTTTCCAGCGGACCACGCACTCGAAATCTTTCGCTGGATATCACTGACGGAGCGGTCTCTGGAATTCGATCTGTATCGCCTTCTTGAAACAAGATTGGTTGAACATCCGTGAATTTCTCGATATACTTGTAAAGGCCATATCCATGGTGCGCAGAACTCTTCGTATTGACCGGCACTGGAGTCGCAGAATCGCTAGATCGCGGGAGAACGCTGTATGTGACCATAGATGCAGGCTCCTCGACATGGAAATCCGCCGATGCGACGAGGCACGCTCTCATCGAACCATCATCTGCTTCCTGACTGACTCTTATGACTCGCGTCTGGAAGCTCCTGGTATCCCGTACATTTTGCACCTCGCAAATCAACTTGCGGTCTGTTGTGGCGGGACGGAGGAAATGCCCGCAAATGGAATATAAGTGATGAAGATGTGAAACAGTCTGGTATGTCGAATTCACCGCAATTGCCAACAAATTCCCTCCGAATGCAGTCGATGAGAGCTTGCCCATTCGTGTCGGATTGACAACAGAGCGATAGCAGCCAGGCCGTATAGCTTCAACGCCAATTTGGCGGTTGAGGGTAATGTCGGAGTCATCCATTGGCTGTCAATGATATGTTTGAGGACGTGAAACAACAATAAACTAACTGGGATACCATGCATATAAACCAAATATGAATCAATTCACATTTTGGAACATTTATGCTATTTAAATAGGGAAGAATCACGAATCATGAATATGCCGAGGTAGCAATGAACCTTGAAAGGCTTCATATTCTCACCCCTTGCTATTGTAATCATGAAATGATCTACAGGAGTTATTGAAAACTAGCCAAGATAGACGTTATTTTCTTAATGCGCGTTAGGTTCGCTAAAATGATCCAACTGGTAGAGTTTCGGCAAGTTCAGGTTACTGCTCATTGTTGATTATATTTCTATGATTGTGCGGACACTGCAAAAAGGCCCTTTGACAAACTGGGCCCATCCTCAGTACAGCCCACATGTTGCAAAGGCAGCTGGTCACTGAATGATCAAATTCACCGAGGTGCTTCTTGATTAGAATAACCAGGTCGTCACCCTCGGAAGACAAAGATATTCTAATACCTCGGGTTCCCCCAATGGTGAGACCGAAGAGCATATTACTTGGAGTGGCTGTGAAAATATTATTTACAGGTTGAACAAAGTTCTATATTCTCTGTCGCCCGATCGTAAGCTTTATTGGCTTTTGTATCCTCAATACGCTTATTCGTTCGTCTCGCTTGAAACCGACGTTAATCCCTCGCAAACAACTTGGACCAACAACCCAAAATAAGGGCCCGATAACCATGTCTCGGGAGGCCTTTACACCTCCATCTTCTGCAGAACTGCCTCGCCTGCGAATGCTCCTTTTCTGTTTGATGCTTACAACCACCATTCACTACGCGCACAATTACACTCGGGCCGCAGACTATCCTCCAGTTCCTTTCATCTACGAAAGCCCCATAGCATATCGCATTGGAATACTCATTTCCTATCCATTTCACACGTTTTGCGGATTTTATGGATACAGACTGTACTTGTCTGGTAAATATCGAAAATCGCTTCTGTATCTTGGCAGCTACGCAACCCTGGGCATCCGCACACCAGCTCACTTCTTTGGAGGAGTTCCTCAAATCCCATGGTTCTGGTTTTTGACGATTTTCACGGATTTCTTTGCTGGTGTGGCTTTGGGGGTCTTCTGTTATGAGACATATGCGTCACAAGTTCTTTCTTCTGCCACGATTGGAGTCTGACTTTATGCTTATGTTACTTTGGACCAAATGTACTTATGGCCGAATGTTACCGGGGGTCAATTTTAGTAGATCCTATTAATTGATTTGTTTAGTTACTCTATCGTCACAATGAGTGGCATCAAAGAGTAGCACTGCCCTACCAATCCCGCATTAACCGAGCCTTGATATTCTTCACATGCCAAACTCCCCCCTTACCAACAATCCACATCTCATGCTCCCCAAATGCCAGGCTCACTGCCACGTTTGATCCCCCTCCAACCCGAATACTCCCCAGCACAAATCCAGTCTCCGGATCAATCACATCCACTCCATCACCGGAACCTGCAAATAACCAACCTTCCCTTGATGCGCGGATCCCATCATAGAAATACGACAATGGATTTCCCAACATACGCTTGTTGGCGAGCACTGCTCCTGATCCGGATATGTCGAATGCCCATAACATTCGTTTGCCGTAGGGATTCTTGTTCGAGGGTCGGAGATTGGAGACGCCTGTATCCGGAATGTACAGCGTTTTTCCATCTGGAGAGATGGCTACTCCATTTGCATTACCGTCTGTTGTCCAGATAATCTTCGACTGCATTGTCGTGTTGTTGACGAAGTAGATGGATGGGTTGGTTGGAGTGGCGAAGTTGACGATTTCACGGCCCTATGAGAAGATAGCAAGTCAGTATAAATTTTCTTGTTTGCGGTTAAATAAGAAAAGCCTGAGCACATTTTAATACTTCATCACATACCCATCCTGATTTAGAGTCTGTCAGGTAGAAGTTCCCTTCTCGATCCATCTCTAGATCATTAAACCCAGCAAACGGCTGCCCGAAGAAGTTGTTTAGAAGAACCTTTTTCTTCAAAGACACAGGATCAATTTGCACCAGACTAACGCTCTCACTGCTTCCAGCTCCATCGGTCGCAACGTAAAGGTGATCCTGGTATGACACACAGCCGTGGGCATTCAAGGTTGGCGGGTCAGTTACGATCTTCTTGAGGCTATTGGTATCCACATCCAGCAGATATTGCCATTTGTGAATGCCATCAACGCCACCGGGTGGTCCCCATTCAACAAAAAACAGCTGTCTGGTATTTTGGATGTAACAGGGTGCCTCGTGGGATTGGTAAGCGAGCTTCTGGACATGCTCAATCGTGGCTTCGGCGCCTATGATACTGAAGAATTTGGAATCATAGACCACGAAGTCGGTTGTGTTGATGTTTTGCAACCTGGAGAAGTGAGCGGAACTATTCCTATTGCTTCATAGCTATTCAAGGAGTTAGCGGCGGCGCTCACTTACTTACGTTTGGGCTAGCGAGGAATCGCTCACTTGGCCTGCCCAAGGTGCATCAAAGATTGTTCGATTGAAGTGTCCTTGGAGTGTAGCAAAGGCAGAAAGGGAGATCCAGGCCCATTTTGCGGCTGGTTGAACGAACCACGAGGGTAGAGCTTTAAGATAAATTGAACTATTCGACATGATCACAATTTGACATCAATCTTTTTGATTATGTGTCTCGTCACTCAATAATAAGATCAGTTTGAGCTTTATAGCTTTTTTTCAAAGTCATTGAACTCAAGGCCGGTGTTCCTGCACAAATAACAACACGCGGAGCCATCCGTCCCGCACACGGAGCTATCCTAAGCCTGATGGGATCTCTTGTATTTTGGAGACTGTCCTTACTATAAACCGACTTTGATAAAAATTGTAATATGTGAGAGAAGAGAGATATAGGACCTGGTAATTAGGAATGAAACGGGCATCCACCAGCATATCCTTGCTTCTTCAAGTCTGCGAATATATCCTCCATTTCATCCGCTCCGCGTTTCTCCTGGGCAGTCGGGCCAATAGTTCTCAGGTCATATCCGTCCGCCCGCCATGGACTCCCGTCTGTCAGAGAAGGCCCACCGGTTATCCACGCCAAAATTGCCTTGAAGCTCCACCGATTAGAAAAGGTTGGCTTCACATACCAAGGATGGGCAATCCAGAAATTGGCTGTGTACAGACCGGTGACAGGGTCTGGAGAGCTACTGAGCATGTGAACTTTCTTGCTCTCTGGCCGGGGAAAACTTAGATATCGTAAAACAAATTTTCGGATGTTGAAAATTCCTCCCATCAGAGTGTAATGGAGGGTTGTTGGCTTCCGAAACCTGTCACTACCGTCAGCGTTTACTCTAAAAGTTGCTTCCAATGATCGTTGATACATACCCCATACTCTCCTGCATATAACCCTCCACCCTAGAAGCAATCATTTGCTCCCCAAATTGTTTCAACCCAGACGGAAGATGGAATGTGGCCAGATTCATGAGCTGCCGTCCGATCTCGCGAGTAGAGCTGGTTGGCTCAGCAACTCGCCTTTCGTATTGCAATGTCCAGCCCATAATCTCCTCAGCAAAATGGATCCCATCTCTCCAACCGTCCTTTTGTGACGGGAGCTTGGTGAACGGAATTTCCATAGCGTCACCAAGAGCTTTATGGAAAACACCAATCGCACACTTTTCGACATCTGTAAGATCTCGCCATTCGATTGAGCCAATGGTCTGGAAAATATCGAGCACAGCGGAGCCCAGAGTATGTAGCATATCATCATCCAGAATCTTGCCGGCTTTCCGGAATCGGGCGTGCAGATAGTTCATGCGGGAAATTCCAAGTAGATGGGAGTCAGAGCCTGGTTCTCTGTCGTGAACCTCGTTCAGAATAATTTCTGTATCTGCTGCACGTTTTGACGCATTTTTGTCGTTCAGTTGTCTCGTTGCGACAAACAACTTGGCCATCGTGGGAATCGAACCAGTCTGATAAAAGAAATTAATTAGAAAATGGACCGGATGCCGAGACATTTAGAAAGCCAAACCTTTAGCAGAGACAGTTTCATAGAGAGATGCATCGAGAATGGAAATTCCAATTCCCGTAGATTGCGCACCACCTCATGGGCTTCTTTGACAGTCATCTCCGACAATGGACGTCCATTTCGGTAATATTTTGTTTCAACAGAGCGGGCTCGTTGGTAACGATATTTTCTTACTGCCAGAATATAGATTACAGAGAAACCCACGGCAAGATATGCGAGTTGATGGGCGTTAAAAATCGGGACCGTCTTAACCATGATGGCTGTGAGACAGGAGACAAAATAAGAGACAGAAATATAAATAATTATAATATAAGGCTGGTTGCTCGCGAATTGAATACTATTTATACCCAGAAGCGTCTTTGTAGGGCATAAATCGGAATGCCGAGATATTCTAATCAACGACATCAAGACCCGTACGTTGGGAATACTCTCAACAAAGTGAACCTGGGATTATAATTCTTATTACAAAAGACAGGATCCCTTTCCTGAATTTTTTGTGTTCTCGTCTCCAGTCATCCCCATTCACTGGTATCTCGGAAAATAAAATGGCTACCTTCGCGCTTGATACACCAACGGTTATCGCAGTTTTGGTGATTTTACTACTTGCATATAAGAACCTGCCATGGGTATGGCATGTGAGTATTTTGCTATAACCGAACCCATAGAAATCACGTCACTAACAAATTATGCACAGTTTCGATTTATCCGAACGCTTTTGACTCGACTCTTCATCACCCCTGTCACTATCGACCAGCTAAGCCCAGAATGTCTCTTCCTCCCCGCCATTCACCGTACAAGATCGCCCGTGAGCGAATGCGATTACAATATCCACAAATCCAATTCGACATACTTCACCGACATGGATATCTCGCGGGGCAATCTTAGTCTTCTTCTATTCAGCCAGCGCCTGTCGTTCCGTCCAACGCACAATACTGCAGTCATGATCTTAAGTGGTGTACAGTGTGTTTTCCACAGAGAGATCAAACCATATCAACCATTTGAAGTTTGGTCGCGTGTTCTGAGTTGGGATGAGAAATGGATCTATATCGTGACGCATTTTGTCGTCCGAGGCGCCTATCGACCAAAACAATTCTGTCTCCAAAAAGATAGTATCGAGATACCATCTCGTTCGAGGGAGCATGGAGACGCCGTGATGCAAGAGAAGAAGCGCCGAAGCGTGTTCGCGTCTGCAGTGTCGCGATACGTGTTCAAGCAAGGGAGGAAGACATTCCCTCCAGAAAATATGCTAAAGGAATGTGGCCTGCTTCCGTCTACAGATGCCGAGATGGGCTCTAACCCCACTGGACCTGACCAAACAAAAACTTCTCATTTAATCTGGCGAGAAATTGAGGCAAGACGCAAAAGGGATTTGGAAGTTGCTCAATTGAAACTGGGGTGGGACGGCGTCAACAACTGCTTCGAGGGCGAGATTCATACGGCGCTTGGAAGATACACCGATCTGTTATGGAGATAACAGAGACCCGTCCCTTGCGATGTACCTCATCTTGTTGGCTTAATTAGGCATCCGCCTTGGGCTGCCTGGTTGGGCATAGGCCTTGTGTTTCAGGCCATGTTTGTTTGTCTGTACCTCAGGTCGGCCCTCTGTATTTTGCTTTCTATCTGAAAGTTCAACTAGTTTCCGTATCTTTATCTCTCATTCAGTGCCTCTCTCTTGAATATAGCAGGCTCTCCATAGTAATTGGAAATCACCCTCTTCTGCTTTCCCTCTATTTTTATGTCATCGGTAATTGCGCCCGTTGCATTATGACATGTTTCACGAAACTTCTAGTATATATATTAGTCCTAGGATATCTGAATAAGGGGCCAGAGATAGTGGTCTTTTGGCCCAGTAGGAGGATGCGTGCCTAGAATATCTTTTACATTTTACTACCATTCTCGGACAAAAGCATTTCCTCGGAAGTCGAAAAGGAACTGAACGATCTGAAGAAGTTCGCCACTGTTGGGAGCCCAATCAAAGTTCGATTGCTTGGCTATTCAAGAGATTTGGTGTGACCCACACAGTTGACCCCAACGCAATGAGAGCCGAGGCCGTCGAATGATTAGAATATCATGGAAATATCAGCACACCACCTATAGAATTCAACTACGGAGGTCGACCCCAATGAAAATGTTAGTATGGTACTTTCGGTCTTGGCATATTACTAAGATAATATCTGACCGCCCTCTTAATATCATATAGATCAATACACTACTATTACAGCCCCTTTTTATCCTTCCTATCTATTCCCATGGCATCTCTACCTCAGCCACCACAAACGCCTAGGCATCATATCTCCCGCGATCAGCGTATTATAGCGCGAACCCTACGTAGCCAGGGCCATACCTACGCTCAAATTGCGCAACAGCTTCATATCACACAGCGCCAAGTCCAAAAGGCCTGCACCGATGATCGACCTACACCTCGCAAAGCGCCTGGCCGCAGCCGAAAGTTATCAGAAGAGCAACTGGATGAGATCATTGATTTTGTCTCCACTTCGAAAGAAACACGACGAATGCCTTACTCGCAGCTTATACAAGAACTAAACCTTACTATAAGTGTTGAGACCCTCCGCCGAGCTCTTGCCAGACGTGGATATCATCGATGTAAGGCCCTCCGAAAGCCTCCTTTATCTGATCGTACAAAAGCCTTACGTCTAGCTTGGGCGCTAGAACATGTGAATTGGACTCGCGAGCAGTGGAATAAGATATTGTGGACTGATGAGACTTGGGTTACCTCGATTTATCATCGAACAATATATGTTACACGACGTGCTAGCGAGGAATTTAATGATACTTGTATTCGTGAGCGTGTATCCCATGCGCCTGGCTGGATATTTTGGGGCTCATTTTATGGAGATCAAAAAGGTCCTTGTTTATTTTGGGAAAAAGAGTGGAAGACCATCAATAGCGTACGATATACTGAGCGGATCGTGCCTTTAATTGATGGTATGGTAACGATAGCACGTAATAACCATCATTATCTTACTGTGATGCAAGATAGTGCGCCATCTCATCGGAATCTTCTTACGCTCGATGAACTACATGAACGTGGTATATATCCTATTGATTGGCCACCATACTCACCTGATTTAAACCCAATTGAACAGATATGGGATTGGATGAAGGATTGGATCGGAGACCACTAACTAAAAGCATATGATCGGAAGCTGTCTTATGATCAGCTACGTGAGGCTGTACGCGCTGCCTGGGATGCTATACCAACAAGCTATCTATCGCATCAGATTGATCTTATACAGATGCGTTGCCAGGCAGTGATTCAGGCACAAGGTGGACATACGCCGTACTAAGATGTAATTTAGTAATATACCTGTTTAATTACATGCGCCTGTAAAGAGAAAATGGCAGAATATTAGTAATATGCCAAGACCGAAAGTACCACGCTAACATTTTCATTGAGGTCGACCTCCGTAGAACCATGTATTCGTGAGAATGACGTTTTCCATGCGACTTTTCGCTCCGTCCTAGTTCTCCAGCCCAATCCACCGATACACTATTGCCCTCAAAGACACCACCTTGTACCCTTGCCATGAAGAAACATACAAAGCCATTAACCCACGACACCGAAATGCTTGACGAGAACTCAGCGGCTAACCCGGAGGAAGGCGCTTCAGTTGATAGACGGAAAAATCTACCACGCCGTTCTAAACGCCCAGGTAGACCGCGGCTAGATGCACCAGGCGCTTCTGTTTTATCCCAGGTCAGGATTGTTTATGTTAATGTATACTTTTGGACGGGTTATAGCTAACAGTCAGTAGGAGCGGAGAGGCCAACTCCGACAGGCTCAAAAAGTACACAGGTTGAAGCAGAAGGCGATTCTTCAGAATGCCACTGTGCGAGTATCTGAGCTAGAAGATCAGATTGGGAAGATCCGAGACGCATTTGCCAACCTCGAGAATGACGCCTCTGTCAGCCATCCAGCAATCTATCAGCGACTTAATAAGCTGCGTGCAGCAATCTTTCTACCGCAGTCAGAAAGTCCAGAAAAGAGCCCAGCTGCATCTGAAAAGACAAATCACAGTCCACCACCTGATACCTTTGAATATGTGGCTTCTCGGAGATTAGTACTACAACCTGACTCTACAAATCGGCTTGGAGAAGGTGTTTCCTCTTCGACATCTTCCAGTTCTAGTGTGGATGACGATCATTCAGCGATCCAGAGCCGAAGTTGGGTAGAACGCCCACTTTCAGACAGCGAGCATCTGTCCTACTACTTTCAAGAGACGAGTTTTACTCGCGGCTTGCACCGCTATTGCTTAGAGCACGCGTTTCGCTTGTTCATCGACCCCCACTCGTCTCCAACTGCCAACTATCGGGTATTTAGATTGGTATCCTGCATACGAGACAGGGAGAAGACATATCCATACTTCAAAAGGTTGGTGACAGGGGGAATCGGAGATGAACTCGAGCTACCGGGCCTCCCATTCTATTGTATCGGAGGCGCTGGGACACACTACCCGCCCAAAGACGAATTTGGAAATGCAATTTACCCCCCGAATCGCAGGATGCCAAGGCGTATTCTTGGAAGCATGGCGATAGCTGAGAGGTTCTTGGATGGGGATACAGACTTTAATCAACAGAAAGTGCTCGAGACATTTGGGCTTGGGGGTCAATGGTTTGACTGTCGAGATGTCGAAGGGTATCTTAGCGAGTGCGGAGTCTCCATGAAACAACACTGTGCACTTCCTAAGATATCGGGTAGGAAAGCAGATCGCATCCTTGATATTGGCTTATTCTGTCGCAGTGAGTTCGAAGATGTTGTGCTGGGTTGCCGAGATATACTTACAAAACGACAGAACTATTACACAGTACTGTCATTCTAGGTCGAGTACCGGGGTTCCGCAAGGCTGATGTTGAATATGCGTTCACTTCCTCACTGTATCGCGATATCTCATCGTCGTGATGTCAAGAGCTAAATCAAATGCTGGGAAGCAGAGAGATTGCAGCTCAGATTCTTGCGTGATATCAGCACAACGCGACATAGAATGGCCGTCAATTGGAATCAACGGAAGCTTTAATTTTTTTTGGCCGCGCAAATTTTGCGATTAAAATAGATGATTATAAAAAGGCTCTGCAGTAAAGGCGGAGGACGTGTCGTGGGTCATGACCTGATTGTGGACTTTTGTTCGGTAAAATAGACCCGTTCTCCTTTCTATCATATGACTCTTGTTCGAGTGTTGTTTCTGAGAATGACAAGCCGAGAGATCGGAACTATTAGCATACTTTCAATGTTGCATAACTCAGTTCCATGTCCTCGATGGTATTAGGAGGAGGGTAATATTGGCAATCGATGTTAAGTCTGGATCATGGTTTGCTATATGACACGTTGAGAGTATGAAACTAAATACATCAGATCTTCCTCACACTCCCCGACTCGACATTCTCTTCATGTTCACTGCTTGTTGCTTTCTCCACGTCCACATTGATATCCAAATTGGCGGTTTGCTCATCAACAGCAGGTAGTTTAACAGATCCGATCTTGTACCAAGGCAAGGAGAACAATGATTGTGCACTCTCCATACTCCGACCCTTGCACTCAGGGAAAGCTACAAACACCCATACAGTGGCACATCCCGTAAACGCAGTGAAAAGTGAAAAAGGACCCCATGCATGCATTGTCTCGGTCATGTTTGGGAAACCACGAGAAATTCCAAAATTGAGCAGATTCTGGTAAATAAAAGCAATCGTCACGACAGTACCTCGACTTGAGGTTGGGCAGATTTCAGACGCTGTCAGAGAGAAGGCTGGCGCCCAACCAAATCCATAGCCGATTGCGAAGATGCAGATGGCCACGATGGCCACCCATGCTGCTGGCGACGGACTATCAGATGAACTGGAGAGGTCGGATACACCGAGATAGACTGAGAGATATAGCAGACACACGGTGTTGATGGCGGAGCCAATGAGGAGTAATGGGCGGCGGCCGAAACGATCGGTCAGGAAGAAGGCATAGAGGAAAACGCTGATAACTTTGATGAGGCCGTACACAGCACTGAATAAAAGGACTTGCTCTGAGTCCAGGCCGATTGTTTTCAAAATCGTCGGCGCATAATATGTGATCGAGTTGCCACCGCTCATGATGAAGAAGGTCTGGATTATGATGACGAATATGAGCATCTTGCGAGTTGGAGGATCGGTAATGCAGGATCCAATAAGAGACTTGAATGCTATCAGAGCCGATTGGACTTCTGTGTTTGCGTTCACACGGCCTTTTAGTTCATCCCACTCGCGAGAGAAGTAGCTATCGGTAGGTTCCAAGCCACGAAGACGGAGCAAACTGGCATGTGCTTCTTCCTCTCGTCCCCTCATCATAAGATATCGAGGACTTTCAGGAAAGAATGGCCATCCAATAAAGAGGACAACTGAAGGAATCAGCTGCAAGACCAGAGTCGTACGCCACTGCCAGCTGGATTGGACCGGGATGATTTCGAGGGAACCATAGTTGATCCAGTAACTGCCAGCTACACCGCTCATGATATTAATGTTATAGAAGGTGGTCATCATTCCTCGCATCTCGGTTGGAGCGACTTCAGAAATGTAGATAGTGCCTGCTGTCATTCCAAGGCCGGATCCGACGCCGGAGAGGACTCGACCGACAAGCAATTCTGCGAGAGAACCAAAGTTCGCGGCCATTAGAATGGCACCAATCGTGTAGAAAATAGCTGCGGCCATGACTACGGACTTTCGTCCACGGCGCTCGCCCAATGGCCCAGACAACAGAACACCGACAGTTTGACCCTGTGAGTAACCATGTGTCAGCATCACAATTTCGAGAGTCTTAAAGTATAGAGAAAGCAGTAAGTTTCACAATGTGGGACAAACACACCAGAAGCATCGAGGAGACCACCCAGCCAGAGTAGTTGGAGACTACCAAGACGGGGAGATCTGTCCAGCCAAAGTCTCGTTTGAATGGCTTGAGACTCATAGTCCCAGAAATATTGGCTGTGTTAAAGCCATGGAGACCACCACAATAAGAGGCCCAGATGACAGCGAGCCAGATATAGGCCCTCTTTGCTGGGGCAGGGACCTGTCGAATGGCCTCATTAGACCAGCCTCCACCGGCTGCTCCCATTGCTAAGAAAGTAAAGTATTCGACTGTAAATGAAAACAAGATATGAAGGTATCAGCGTTCCTTCAGGCTAGACACAGGCAGACAGCTAGACTTATATCAATTTGTTGCGCATATTCTCTGTTTAGTCGGCTTATATGGCACCATGATCCACCAGAAGCAAGATCCAATGGAAGCAGTATCAAGGAAGGTGACGAGTCCCATGGCCAAAGGACTTGTGCGGGGGAGAGGTTTCCTACGCGTAGCCCCGGTCATATCAAAGCGATTGGGTCATATTGAGTGAAGTGACCGGCTCTGAGCGTGGTTGAGCGCCAAGTCTGGGGCAAAGGGGTGTTCCGAGAGAGTACGGAGTGATCCGTGGACGTTGGGGAATTCGCCTTTTTAACTTTTTATAAGCCTCTTTGCGCCGCCAGCCAATCAAGCAACCTTAATTTCACATGGCGATTCATAGAGCTAATCGGCGAGACAACTTGTTGGGCACCCATGGGGAGTTTGGAGATAAGACTCTAATGTGACTATCAATCAAATTAAACTCATGAGTTATAGTAAATTGTATTTGAAGAATATAGGTAGTTCAAAATCGAAACAAGTTGGATATTGAAAGGTCCATGAAGTAACTATACAAACATGCAGTAAAGATACGTCCGGTAAATAAACCACCTCCTATTTCTGGAGCAACGTGGCTTTAATGTGATTCAGCGCACTACCAGCCCGTAGCCAAGTGAGCTGCCCACTGTGATAACTATGATTCAGTTGAGCTTCCCAGCGGGTACCATCGTTACTAGTCACTCTCATCCTGACTGGCTTTCCAGGCTGGAGCTCACCATCTTCCACACCAAATAGAGAGATGCGATCACCCTCAGCAATCCGATCATAATCGACCGAATCATTGAAAGTAAGCGGCAACATGCCCTGTTTCTTGAGGTTTGTCTCATGAATGCGTGCAAAGGAGCGGGCAATCACTGCAGTTCCACCAAGATAGCGTGGCTCGAGAGCTGCATGTTCGCGCGAGCTCCCCTCTCCATAGTTATGGTCGCCGATAATGCACCAGCGGATACCTTTTTGTTGAAGGTCTCGCGCTACCTCGGGAACGACTTGGGTCTGTCCAGTCAATGGGTGTTTTGTGTGGCCGAGCATCTGAGGTGTGTTGGGAAGGAAAGCGTTGGTGGCTGTGGTGAGCATGTTATTGCTGATGTTTTCGAGATGGCCGCGATATTTGTACCAGGGGCCGGCAGGTGAGATATGGTCAGTTGTGCATTTTCCAGTCACCTTGATCAGAAGTTCCATATCAGTGGCACACCCTGGCTGCCATGAGGGGAATGGGGTAAGAAGCTGGAGCCGGTCGGACTGTGGATGAACAGCGATAGGAAGAGACGATCCATCCGGTGGTGGCTCTTGGAATGTGTCCACCCCGGAAAGATATCTCAATGGAAGCTCATGATCAATTGGTGATTCGAACTTGAGGGACGATCCTTCGAAAGAAACAGTATCCGTCAAGGGATTGAAGTCAAGGCGTCCAGAGTAAGCAAAAGCCGTGACAATTTCAGGAGAAGTCACAAAGGAATGAGTAGCGGGGTTGCTATCATGTCGGCCCACAAAATTGCGATTGAAGCTTGAAATGACCGAGTTCTTCTCTTTTCCCTTCACGTTGACATCTTTGCGATCCCAAGAGCCGACACAAGGACCACAGGAGCTGCTAAATACAACAGCGCCAGCTTCTCTGATCTCGTCAAGGATACCGTCAGCCTCGGCAGTGGCACGGATCTGTTCGCTACCTGGCGTCAAGACAAAGGGAACCTTGAACTTTGGAATACCTGCAGCTTTGGCCTGAGCCACTAGTTGTCGGCACTTGTCGAGGTCTTCATACGAGCTATTCGTGCAACTGCCAACCATGGCATGACTCAGTTCAACGGGCCAATCCTTCGCTCCAACGGCATCTTTGAGCTCAGTTATGGGGTGTGCCAAATCGGGAGTGAACGGACCATTGACGTGTGGTTCAAGTGTATCGAGGCTGATCTCGATGATTCGATCATAGTACTGATGTGACCCCTCGTCTGCGGATAACAGGACGTCTTGAACTTGACTAGCTGCTTGGGCCACATAATCGCGCTTTGTGGCGGTCAGATATCGGCCCATGGCCTCAGTGTATGGAAAGATGCACGATGTTGAGCCAATTTCTGCCGACATGTTGCAAATAGTCGCCATAGCCGTTGCTCCCAACGTCTGTGTGCCCGGGCCAAAGAACTCAATGACTGATCCCTTTCCACCAGAAACGGAGAGAATGCCAGCCAGCTTGCAAATGATATCCTTGGTTGATGCCCAGCCCTGGAGATGGCCTGTCAATCGAACGCCAATAACTTTAGGAGCGACGAGTTCCCAAGGCATGCCCGACATGGCATCGACAGCATCTGAACCTCCAACTCCGATCCCAAGCATCCCAAGGCCCCCGGCGTTCGGTGTATGAGAGTCGGTTCCGATGATTAGTCCACCCGGTCTAAATAAAGCCGCAAGTTAGTACTGGCATACATAGAGGGGTGATAAAATCTCCTTACACGGCGTAGTTCTCAAAAATCACAGTGTGAATAATGCCGGAACCTGGCGTCCAGAAGCCAATACCATATTTCCTGGACGCACTGCTGAGAAAGTCATAGACTTCAGCATGCTCCGAAGCAGCTCGCGTGAGATCCTCCACCGCACCTTTCTCCGAAATAATCAAGTGGTCACTATGCACCGTTGTTGGTGCTATGACACGCGGCAGGCCAGCGCTGATGAACTGGAGTAGGGCCATAGTCGCAGTAGCATCATGACAAGCAATTCGATCGGGTCTCAGCTCTAGAATGGTATTTCCTCTTTCAATCTGTTCGAGATCCCATTGCCGATCGCTATCAATGATCAAATGGCTATACAGCAGCTTCTCGGTCAAGGTCAAGGGGCGTCGCGAACGTCGTTTAAGGATGTCGAGAGTTGCAAGCTGTTTTCTGTAGTTGACTCCAAAGTAGCTTGAGCCACTTGCTTCGGTTGTTAAACTTCTCGAGTTGGTACATAGAGATTTTTGTAGTGCTGGTGTGGACGCAACACGCCGGAGAGCTTGCCACATCATGTTTAGGGCTCCGAAAGGAATATGACTATTCATGAATATTCATGAATTTTTGCGAATATGAATAATATGAATTGCATAATAGGAATATGAATAAGTCTCTTATTCATATTCGCAATATTCATGAATATATGAATAATTCATATTTAATCATATACGAAGAGAGCATACATTACCGTTCATGTTGTTACATCGCAATACAACAACCATAATTCATGGGCTTAGACTCCATTACATACAATTTACCACCCTTGAGATATTAAGTCCCCTTGAATCTGAATATTGTCACAATCACTAGCCTGGAAATATTTTGATGCTGTCCTTCAATATCATAAGCCATCGCATAGTCTCCGCATTCAGACAGTGTCTCATGAGCCCCAATACATCTCTGGCTTTGCTGGACTCGCGTTCAATCCCTAAGTCCGCTGGTAAAACTGGCAGGCAATCCTAGGCTGCCTTTGCCGTGAGTTGAAAAGTGAATACATTTGCCTTCCACTACTTGAGAGCCCATCCTTCGCTTGCATCGTCAATCATACGATGGGACCAACTCATAGGTGGCGCGTCTAGATTTCTATCAATATCCGAGAGATGCGTCCTCTGTGATGGCTGTAGGGGCTCTCCATTTCACGGATGTTTCCTTCCCATGGCTCAGGGAGTAGGGAGAGCATGTCGTTATCCAGAGCATTGTAGTCGCGACGTGGAAAACCACGCGTCTTTCGCACGAATGGGTTAGGTTATGATGCCATTCTGTATCTGTCCAGTGTCAGTAGTCCAAGCGGTATCTGGAAGCGAGGCATGGCACACCTTCAGTATCACTCGACAATACTCGGTAGCCTCGCGGGTTGGGAATGAAAAGTGAGAATTAAACAATTACGGAGAAATCTCAACTGCGATTTCGCCTTATGCAATCCCATCAAAATGGAAAGTTGATAGGTCTTTTCTTTACACGCGGCCGTTTCTCACACGCGATTCTCATGGTAAACATTCTGTGACCTGGGTGATAAGTGACTTAAAGTGGCGTGATAAACGCGTTTTTACGTGCCAATCGTCATATTTATATCACATCTTGAATTTGAAGTAGAACGGGCGAGAATAAGTAAAGTTATGGTAGTCGGTTTAAATGAAGCAGCAAAGATGTAGGAAGACGTCTTGTAGATATATATAATATCGATTACTTTCTGTAGCAGCCTTTCTGGTTACCAAAAATAGACACTTACCGATAATAATCCACTGAAAGTGACCACACAAACTACGTAGACCTTACCGAGCCCTACAATAAAGGATATAGACTTCTAGAACTTGGTTTCCATGGGGAATATTTCCTACTTCTGCTTGACCGAGGCCGTGATGGGCACTTGAAATACAAGTTGACTAGTGGAAACGTGTATTCCGGTAATACAAAAACCGGGGAAACGGAGGAACAATTAATGCGCGCAAAATGCATGATATGAATAATATGAATGCGAATATGAATAATGCGCTTATTCGCGCGAATACGATATTCATTTATTCATATTCGCAGAGTGCGAATATGAATATGCCCTATATTCGCATTCATTTATTCCTTTCGGAGCCCTAATCATGTTTAATTTCGAATCAACGCGATAAACCTGCAACAGCGGGAGATTGAAGAAGAATAAACGCTTCCATGTAACGCCATTTTGAAAGTGCAGATAGAAACTAGCGACGAAAATCGGCGCATTTGCAATGTTCGCATCTGCCGAGGATCGAAGATGGAGCGCTCAGGAGCGCTCCGGGTGGGGCGGATGGCTCCGTCGATTGTACGTCGTTGGGAATGAGGAACGTCTCTTACTGGCGAAGGGATCGATTTTATTGGCGCACAGTAGACTTCTCGATAGGACGGTTTAGAAAATATATTGATATATATGATGTGGGTTGTGAGACT